AAAAAAAAAAGTGGAAAAAAGTGGAAAAAACTGATTCCTTCATTGTATTTTTATTTAGTAAGCAGACAATAGCAAACTGGCAGCATGACGTGCAGTTGGCGTTACATAGTCAACCAAATTTGGTCCCCAAAATATACGATGATAACGTCGATCTTCAGAACCTTCAAAATTTGTTGGATAGAACAACGGGCCACAACTGGTTACACCATTAAAACGTCCTATAAAATTGATGATTATATTGTTGATGAAAGCCAAATTGCTCCTCTCTTTTTTTTTTCTTCTTTGCTGTTAAAGTGAAAAATATTTGTCAATGTATACAGTGTACTATACTGTTTAAACAATGCTAACATTTACTCTGAGTATCCAGAACAGTTTTAAACCTATAAGTTACTGTGTTAATCAATGAATTACACTAAATTCTCTAGTGTATTTCCAAAACTGACGGTAGCTTACCGCAGTAACTTTACTGTACTTTATGCTGGAATTAAGCAAGTTTTAATCACTAAAATAATACTTGATAAAAAAATTTTTTTATGCCTAATGATAACAAAAACTACTTTTAATCTACTATTAAAGTTGCTATTATTAATTAAACAGTTGAACTTAGCAACAGTATCAGACTAATTTGTACTTTAATTGTACACGTGGCATAAACAATGCTGAGTTAAACTTGACGTCAAATATGGTTATTTTTATCACTGCTGATGTTATTGCAACTGGCAATAACTGTTTGAAAAGGACCATTTTGCACTGACTGTTGTTTATTGACACAGTTGAACAGGAAGAAAATGCTGTTTAATTCTTCCTCTATGCTCTGGTTGAACAAAAATCAGAAACTATCGTCATATAGTCGACAAAGTTAATGGAAAAGAAATAACAAACAGAAAAAAGAAAAGGAAAGGAAGAGAAAACAGCCAAAACCATAAAACCAACCAGTCCAATACAAGAAATAGTTTTGTGCTCGACTTGTTGTCACCGGAACGGTGTAAACATTTCTTGGCTTCTTCTCCGATGTTTCTTCCTCTAACTGAAAATGTGGTAAATAAGAAAAAAGAAAACAAATTTGCAGCTCAGTTACAAAAGTGCTGATAGAAAAAAACGCAAGTTGAAACCGCTGTCACATAAAGCTAAATCTACAACTAAAAAAAAAAAAAAACCAAAAATTTGTTGGTTGTGTTCTGCTCCCTTTCCGTTTCAACTTTTTTGAACTTTAAACTTGAATAGTTTTTACTAGCAAGAAAAAACTGTTAGGCTCAGCAATGTTTAATACGCAGGAAGACCGCTTTAGTAGGAAAAAAAAGAAGGTTTACTAAAGTTAAAGTGTTACAAATGAAAAGATTATTAATGGATTTTACATGCAATTTTTTTTATGTGGCTAAAGTAACCTATTGTGGTATCAACCTGTTTAAAGTACTTTGAAAAATTTGTACATAACCTTTACAATAAATAAAATTAAGGCTCAAAAAAAAAAGAAGAAAGCTTACACCCAAACTACTGTTGTGAATAATAGTTGCAGTATTTTTAGAAGTAATTATGTGTCAAACAAAAAAAATTCTACC